TCTCCCTTTAGTTATGGCAGCTTTCGAGGAAGTCAAATTGAGGTTTGCTCTACATCTCCAAAGTGTAGATGTAATTCACCTGCTTACGAAAAGAATCGAACTTTTTATAATTATCAAAGAGCAAGACATAGGTACAAGATAAAGAGTAAAAACCAAAATCCAACGATTAGGTCTCTTTGTTTCCCCAATCCCAAGGTCTACACTCGAGGTACTATGGTATACACTGGACTGCCGAATAAACCCAATGGAAAAGATCGACAAGAAAACAGCTATAAAAGCCTTCAATATCTGGTGGGAAAACCTGCCAGACACAGATATCACTATCTTCTCGGATAGATTGGAAAACTATGTGAAAGGAAAACATATTGTGGGTTATGGGTACGTAATGTATTTAGACAAAAACCAGATACTGGCAGGCTTTGGCTTTATCAATATACAATCCCACGTTTTCGATATAAAAGCTATCAGAGTATGGAAAAGCCTGGAATGCACTCTTAAGGATGCCAGATATACTAATCAGAAAATCTGGATATGTATCGATAGTGTTTCGGTTATTTGAAGTATAAAGGCTAATGTTTCTATGTTATTACAATAAACATTCAATAACTGCTACAAGGCTATGAAGAACAACGATATTCGTGTCAAATAGTTATTGGGATATAAAAGTATTGAGAGAAACGAAGCGATCAATTATCTTATCAACCTTAGTGCTAAGAAACCTAGTTAGGATATTGGACCAGCATCTCAATCTATATATAGTGGGGTGAGATTGATTATATATATCCTCAAAGAAGAGGCCTGCTAAGAATGATAAATAGTTTGCAAACCAGCTTTTTCATTATGGTATAAATAATAGGATCTGGTATACAAAGTCAAATCATTGCCAAAGCTCCTACTCCCACGAGTAGTCCTACACAGATTGATAGCTATCCGAACCTCATATGGGGACTTCAGCTGATATCACAGGAAATTCGGGTACACAGGAGATACAGAATACTCCTGCGAAAGGCCCAAAACCCCTGTCCACCTAATCCACTGCTGGAAGGCAAGAGGCACCTTTGATCAATAGCCAAATAAGCCTTCCAAATCATTATTGATAAACGAGGAAGGTATTCAATACCTATATCAAATCTTAAGTAACCCTATAGATTTCGTAAAGTTGCTAAAGTTTATGAAGTTTTATAAAGAGATATACCCAAAATAAAGGGTTGTAAACCTGTATTTTATTTAAAACAAACAATCTAAAATCTCACGACAATATATATTTATTACCAAAACCGACTCGCAACATACAACACAAACGAAGTTATTAACTCTTTTTGCAAAGTGTATACAAAGAAAACAATAATATTAACAGATATGAAAAACCTGATTAAATACCAATAAGATATACAAAAGTATATCTGAGAACGCTCCCCGGAGTATAACAAACATTCAAATTGTTACACCAAAAGCAGCCTACTAATATGTCTAGTGTAAGTAATAGCAAGTTTATAACAAGGGCACATTTGTCTATACTAGACAAGATAGTAGGACTATCTTAACTAGCGAAGGAGAGAATGTACAAATTGGAAGGTAATATACGATTATTGGGAATGGCCATAAAGACTTTCACTCTTCTTTCTAAGGCACTCTCATTTCATGTATCGTAAGACCATAGCTTAGAACATCTGCATACCCCTAGGGAGGTTCTGAGGGCAGCCCTAAGCTGCTCTCCTGATGTAAAATAATACTACTACTACTACTACTAGTAAAAACTTTGCAACCAAGTCATCACTATTCCATTACTACGATAGAATCTTTTGGCGCTCACCAATGATGATGTGCGGAAATCTTTTGACTGGAATCATTACCAGTATATCTCATTATGTATTCTATAGTTCAATGGTAGGGAAGCAAGTTGAGGATGATCATTCTCAGCAGTGGACACTGAGGTATGTTCTTCTCATCGAGTGATTGATGCTATTCTCGCTTTCATACAATCATCAATCAACTAACATAAGATCATAGATATGGGGCCACTTTAATTTTGTTTCCAAAGTGTTTCTTGTCAGTTCGTTCGGGTTTGCTTATGCTAAATGGTTGTGGAAATTTTTGTATCATAAGGATACTAAACTCTCAGTTAAATGTCTAGATGCTGCATTCGTTCCTGATAAATCTGTTCTATCGATATTGAATATCGAAATGCTTTGGAAACTTATACTTGGATCGTTACTTGCGATGGTTGCATGGTTAGTCTATTTTATTCCTGAAATATATCTCAATGCCAGATGTTGCTCCGTATGCTGCTCTTCATCATTAGCCTTCCTATCAATGTCAAATTACGTCAGAGTTGAGTTAGGAGACTACACTTGCACGTACAACTCTTGTGATGCTTTTATACTTATTACTTTAAAGGCCTTTGCCAATTTCTTCCCTTCTCACACCCAGCACACTTTTTGTCGTGTCCAGCAACAAGGTCATCCAAACAGAAACTATGGTATCCTCTCTCGACATGTGTGGTCCTAAGCAAGCTTCAATATTTACCCATTCCACCTCAGTGAACCTCACCGATAAAGAACAAAATTGATTATTCCTCGGACCACGAACAATCATCACTCGATTATCCACCGCCACCGCAGCCCAAGGCCAAATTCTTCTAATTAAAGCCCCATTCTCAAATAACCTACGATGTACAATTTTATGCACCGATGGTTAAATACAACGAAGCCGATCCTGCTACAGCCAAATTATACAGAATATTCGAAAAGAGTCAATTGCAAATTTCACCGCGCCCGTCGTGGAAGTATCAAATTATTACCACGCATTCTTTCCCAATCTCAGTAATTATTATATAGCAACAGCTCACTTCCCAATAATGACATTACCATGACTCCTCAAATACGACTCCAACAACCTCAGAATGCTTCAAAATAATTCTGGATGGGCTATACATGTTATACCAACTCGACATCATTTCAAACAGAGGATCATCATACAGTATGTTCACTCTAAAACGCATCCTACAACCTCAACATCGCTTTCGAAGTCTGCATGCCTACCGTGACCAGAAAATCCCTCTGGGGAATCTACTCAACAACGACTCCTACCCAGAAATCAACACACCACTCTCCAACAACCTCATGATCCAACACGCATATTCTGCCTACATGCAATCCCTTAGTGATCCCATAGTTGGATCAATGGGTATATGCCAAGCCGCTCCCTCACCCTGGTCTCCCAAGTACCGGTACATATTTCTCTGGAATCACCACGCACATTGCTCGTACATCTTTACTTAGCAGCTATGATCTTGATGCGTTTTTTGAACGAAGATCGAATAATCCGATAGGGAATATTACGGCGGTCAATGATCAGAGGGCAATGGATATTCATGTTGCGGGAAATAAGACGCTGGAATATTTGATTGGGGAGTTTGGGGAGGAATGCTAGGTGTGGTTTTAAGAATTGTGTACAAAATTGATTCAGCAAGGCAGTTCAGGAGTAATAACTTACCCGTATCCTAGGGTTTTCAATACAAGCTGCGGAGCAGTAAAAGGAATATACTATACCATATGAATATTGGAACGCGCGATTTGGAAAGTTCATATGGAGTTTAGATATTAGCCCGCTAGTTAGATTGATTTATATACGACATACACGTATGTATATGTGCTGTAGATAGATGATAGATAATAAATATCTCATTACTTTTCGGTGCAAGTAGTATTTGGGTATACGGTTATGTTCATGCGTTGTTTGGCTATACGAGTAGTTATGGCGGGAATATATCTTCATCATATCATCACAAAGTAAGTTACGAGTAGGTCACACAAATACCAGTACCAGTCCTAATTTCGAATCTAGGACATGAGGGTGGGTATATCAATCAATCAATTGACTACTCGAGTATGAGTGAAAGAAAATACTCATCATTGGGTATTTGCGAAAGTAAACTAAAGAAAAATTAAAGACATTTTGAAAAAAAGAGAACTAGGTATCCGACGACTAGTTTCTGAAGACAGTAGAGTGGTAGACCTTTGTGTATCAAGTCCCATTTCTATTTCCTCATGAAATAACCCCCAGATCCATCTGGCATGGCATGGTATCAAGCGCGCTCCAGAAAAACCGTGTGTGTGTACATAATAATCTCCCTTCCCTTCCTCCATCAATAAATGCATATGCACATGCCCCAATCCAACAAATAACCAGATCATTCATTCATTCCATTGATGAGATGAAAACTGCAGACCATTCCTCCCATTTCTTCCATTTCTCCAGATACATGTACATGTACGAAGATGATATGATATGAAGGAATTCGAATACAATGGTGATGGTGATATATCCAGCTAACCGTAGAATGTAGACCGTGGACCGTGATATCGATCGAGAGTTTGAGATTTTGAGATTCCACAAACTTGTATGTATGTACTGTAGGTATGTATCCATAATTCCACTCCAATGCACCAATGCACCAAATAAACACCAAGAATTTCCGCGTATCGAGAGAAGAAGGAGAACTGCAATTGCAACTGCAGAGTGAAAAATTGGAAAACTTGAAAATTGGAATCGTGTAGCTATCCCAATCCTAATGCACCAATGCATCAGACCAAATAAACGCCCAATCTTTCCGGGTATCAAGGTATCGAGAGAAGAGAAGTGCAACTGCAACTGCAACTGCGGTGTGAAAATTTTGAAAGATTGAAAAATTGTAGGTATCCCAACCCTAATGCACCAATGCACCAAATAAACGCACAAATGTTCCGGGTATCGAGAGAACAGAAGAGAACTGCAAATATCGAGTGATATCGTGTATCCCAATCCAAATGCACTAATGCATCAATGCACCAAATAAAATGCCCAAGATTTCTGGGTATCGAGAGAAGGAGAACTGCAATTGCAAATGTCGAGTGAAAACTATGAAAATTTGAAATCTTGTAGCATATCCCAATGCACCGAGAAATTGTGAAGTCCAGAGAACAATTATTCAAAGCGGTCAAAATGCAGCATTCCAGCATTTACAATAAACCCTCCCTCTCCCAAATATCAACTTGTGTAAGCGGGCGAGCATCGTCGTCGAAATCCTCCTCGGGGTCTGCGAATCGATCTTCGACTTCGGTTTGAACCGTACCAGTCGTCGTTGTCTCTTCAACTCTAGCTTCTTCAGCATCTGCAGCTTCCGCAGCCGCTGGCTCATCAAGATGCTGTATCTCTGCACCAACATGCCGTTCAGCTTCTGCTTGCGCTGTCTCATCAACATGCTGTGTCTCTGCACCAACATGCTGTTCAGCTCCCACCATACCCTGATCCTCAACCTCTTCCTCAGGATCTGTGTGTGTAAGTGGACACTTAGGACCTCCGAGTATATTCTCCGTGAGGTCGAATTGAAACCATCGCTGTCCTACGCCTGCACTGCTGATTTCTTCTTGGCACCAGCCTCCGTCTACGTAATTAGGATCTGGTTCTCCATCTTGTCCCCATATGAATTTGTCTTCTTGCTCGTAGTCGTCTCCATCGTTCTCTTCTTCATCCTCATCCTCATCGTCATCTTCTCCTTCTCCCTCACCCTCACTCTCCTCATTTGTACCAAATGCCATCTCAGTCAAACCCTGCATCTCCTGATCGAAAACCTCATCCTTCAATACACCCACATTCTTCAACAGCTCGAAATCCCTCAGTAACTCATTCAAAAACCCAGGTATCTGCTCGGGTGGAATAAGATCTTCAGGTTTAACAGGAGGAAGCGTCTCGCGAATCTCATCCAGCGATGCTGTTGCATACCAGCCCTTGGGTTTCTCTTGAGCTGGCTTTATTGTCGCAGTTGATTCATTTGTAGTGGAGAATATAGATTGAGTCTGAGAGACAGAGCGAGCCGGGAGTTTTCCGAGTTGGTTTGCAGTAAGTGGTGGCGTTTGAACGGCTGGCTGTGTATCTGTCGATGTAACTGTCGAACTTGCACCCAGAGAATCCGATCTAGCAGGTCTCCTTCCCTTTTGAACCTCACTTAAGCCCTCACCTCCCTCATCCACAGCCCCCAAAACAGCAGTCTCCACACCCTCAGCAGCAGCAGCTCTACCCTTTGAACTACTGCCGCCACCAGAAGGTAAATCCTCACTTTTAACTCCCATTTCCCTAAGCATCTCCTGTATTTCTTCTGGTGTCTTCTTTATGACTCCCATCGGCGCTCCAATATCGATCAGCTTTACACCTGCAGAAAAATTTGAACCAGATAGAGCAGACGAGGCTGGATTCTTCGGTAATCGTAGACCGATTGCAGAAGCTGGTTTCATGCTAGAAAATGCCTTTTGCATGCCGTGACGAGCACCACCAAGCTTTAAATGATGCGCAAAGCGCGGAACTCGTGAATAGGAGGCTGTAGAGGAGACAGAAGGGGTAATTTCGTCATTTTCGTGTGTATCTTCGGGAAAAATAACGTTTCTGAGGCCGCTAGGGCGAGAGGGACCGGCGATACTAGGAGGAAGAGGTGGGGAGGATGCGATGGCGGCGTCAATGATGCGAGAATAGCGATCAGCGCGGCTGATCGCTCCATCTCGATTTGGTGTATATTCGTACTGCTCTGAGATAGATGGAGCAGCAGAAGAGAGATCGGGACAGGTGGCCGAGCGTGGGAGGGGGTGGTTTGGTCGCATTTCTATGCGTGGTTTGCGGACCAAGGTTGTGGGGGAAGAGGAGATGTTTAAATAGCCGCGAGGCTGAGCAGTGTCGCTAATACTGCTCGGATCGGTACTACGGCGTGCCGACGAGTGAATATCCTCGCTGCCGTCCATCCCTCCATTGTCCGACTCAGACTGGTTGATTCGATCGTTGGAAGCAGTCGAATCAATTTCAATACCGGATCTCAAGACAGGCATTGAGATCGCGGTATTGCTTGCCGCTGAATCGGACATTGGAGGTGGAGGCGGAGGTCGGGTGGGAGCTTTGGGGGGAGAAGGGTTGGGAGAGAGGGGGCGAGAAAAGTCTGTTGGGTTGTTAGTGATTATATTGGTTTATTGTTTGAGATGGGGTACATACTGGGAATGCTAGTATTTGACATTTTGCTATTATAGTCAGTGATTGTTCATAGTCAAGTTAAAGAGCCATGATACTCTCGTCGGATGAAAGAGAGTGAGAAGAACCAAAGCACAAAATTGCACAAGAGGAAACTTGGAAACTATTCGTTTACTCCAGCTAGGAGAGCAAAAGGTAAAAAAGAAAAGCAAATAACAATAGTACTCTCGTCGAAGGAAAGAGAATTGAAAGAGCCAATGTACATGATAGAACAAGGTAAATCCTGATAACATTCTTCCTACTCCAACGAGGAGTGTGAAAATATAATGAACAAGAGCAAACAATAATGCTACTCTCATCGAAGCATAGAGAATTGGAATAGCCATTGTACATGATAGAAAAAGAAAAATCCTGACAACTATCCTTCTACTCTAACGAGGAATGTAAAAAGACAAACAACAAAAGCAAAAGATAGTACTACTCTCATTGAAGTCCAGAGAGTTGGAAGAGCCAAAGTATATGATAGAACTTAACAAATTCTGACAGCTATCCTCCTACTCTAGTGAGAAGTGTAGAAAGACAAAGAACAAGATCAAAAAATGATGCTACTCTCATAAAGGTATAAAGATATGACAGAGTCAAAGCAGAAGACAGGATAAGAAATATTTTGTCAACTGTCTCTTTATCACAGCGAGGTATGTATAAAGACAAGAAACAAGATCCAACAATACTGCTACTCTCGTCGAAGTCCAGAGAGTTGGAAGAGCTAAATTACATGATAGAAGAGGATAAATCCTAACAAGCATCTTCTTATTCCAGCGAGGAGTTTAAGAAAACCAAGGACAAGGGCAAAGAATAATGCTATTCTTATCAGGGTATAGAGGCTTGGGAGTCTCAAAGCAGAAGATAGAATAAAATAAATCTTGACAAGTATCTCTCCTCTTCAACAAGGTGTGTAAAAGGGCAAGAAACAAGAGTAAACAATGATACCACTCTCATCGAAGCACAATGAGCTGTGAAGCTCAAAGTACCAAGCCAAGACAAGTAGAAGCCCAAAAATATTCAGCCAAACCAGCAAGCATTGTAAAATGGTAAAGAGTAAGGACAGATAATTGAGCTACTCTCGTCTCGGTAAAGTGGGCTCTTAAACTCAAAGTACTAAGTAAAGACAGTGTAGAATTCAAGAGTATCTGCCCATACCATCAACAACAAACATTGCGAAAAAAGACAAGAAAAAAGAACAAGAGGCAACAACAATAACAACTTCCTTCCTCAGTATAATGTGCCAAAGAACAAGAATCAAAACGCAAGACAAAACAAATAAAAGAACAGGAAGCTCACCTGAGCTAGCAAAATCTGTGTTGGTTCAAGAAGCAAGTCAAGTTTCAATAATTTTTTTGACAAGATAACCTGTTGTGTGGAAGGCAGCTGAGCTAGTACATTACTTAATCGAGGCTGAGATTGGTTGTTGATTGAGGTGTGGTGTCCTCGAGGCCTGATTTTAGAGGGGAAGAGAGGGGTTGTGCTGAAAAGTTACTTTTGATTGGTTCGACAACTATATGAGTCTATTGGACAGGAATGAGATGGAATGGGTTATTTTAGGATGAGAAGAGGGTGTGAATGCTTCTGTATACTAGGTTTTGAAGTATCTTGATGTGTTCCCATTTTCCCCTCTTTGACTCAGGATCTCGGATAATAGGGTCACGTGTAAGGGGTAAATAACTTTCTGATGGATTATGGGATGTAACATGACCTTGAAGCTTTTCACTTTGTGATTCAGCTCAGATCATGTAACAATTGAATTGTCTACTTTCTATATCTTAGGATGCTGGTCAGTGAACCTGTTAATAAATCACTAAGTACAGAACTCACTCACTCGCTCACTCATGACATCACTTCATGTAAGATTACAAGTTGATTGCCGAGTCAGTCAGCCCGATTAAAATCAAATCAGAGCGGCAGCAGGGTCAAGAAGAGAGAGAAAAGATAATGTAAGGAGGAAGTGGTCGCAGAATAAACAGGTAAAGAAGAAGTTACTTGTCGGATGGTACATACGCCATCATCGAAATGAAAGTTCCGGAAATTTTTGATATTTCTTATCGGTACAATAACGGTGTATCATTCAACATTACAATCCCACTGGGAAATTATTAAACTTATATCGACTATTGTATGTGATTCGATAGTTACGATAGTGTTCCTCAACCTTTTGATGAACTAGGCGTTTGGTGAATACATTCGACTCGAGCATCACAGCACATCAAGCTCGCAGATATGAGAACTCGGGACTGAAAAGCAAAATGACATGGAATAACGTGCATTATTGATTATCTTTATGTAAGCCTTTCTCAAATGTGTAATATTGAGGTTCTATTGTCGGGACTATGGGATATTCTGCATCGACCCCACTCTCCAACCTCCAACCACAGATACAAATGATCTACCCGTTCTCTCTACTCTAGTAGTTTTTACCTCGACCATATTGCGAAATCTTTATAATAATGACCATACATCAACATAGCCTCCACATATGCCATTTCGAGCTCCCAGATCAAAAATAAATAAACAATATGTCCCAGGCAAGAATCACCATAACGTGACACCATATAACAGCAAGGGCAGAATGACAGTCATCTCGCAATCACAAACAAATAAGACGGATACTTAAAGTACAAACTTGAGGTACACATCACGGCAGAGGAATCTTTGTGATGTTGAAGTCCTTTCATCTTGATTTTCACCCGACCCTTAGGCAGAGACATACCCATCTATCCCCACGCAGAAAGATATCTTTTGCTTAGAAGTTTGACAATTCTTAAGGCGCTTTAGTCACCTAAATCTGAACTTCACTGCAATTAGATTTTACTGATGTAACAATACGCATGTCAACTCTGTAAAGCGTACCATTTAAAGGTAGCGAATATCAAAATGAGCTAGAGGTCCATTTAGGTCGGGGCTTGCATCTTTGAGGGAGTGAATGATTGCATGTAATAAATTTTTGCTGCCATGAGGAGAGTGGATAGACTGCTCAAGCAGTTGGCTCATATTGATTCGGGGCTGTTTTCTCAACATCAAGTATATATAGTAGGGGGCCAAGAGGTATTTGAGGAGTTGTGTGTGGGATTTGGGAAGATGTGATGTAGGTGCACTTTTTTATTATCTGTGTTGTGCATTAAGGGTGCACATATTGTAATTTTCAGCAGAGTCAAGCCGAACAGTCTGAAAATGCCATTATGAAAATTGTAATGCGAGGATGACTTTGGTGTATATATATTACTAGTTAGGCGAGAAAATCTCACCTATACTAAAGGTCTCTACTGTAGTTAGTTAATAAGGTAAGTATATATCTGCTGTGTCAAAGGTTCGAAAAGCATTCATTATATTAAAACATTCGAACAATTATCCAACTCCTATTGATGCAATTGGAAACTACCGATGGAACTCTTTACTCGCAGATCCGAAAGCCATAAGGATGAAGATGTTTATACAAAGCGCAAAGATTTAATTCGCCAGAAAACGAAACGATTAAGGATTCCCACTCAAACGAACGAAAAGATGACGAGGATAATGGAATCTGTAGGATATTTACTACGATCCAAGCTTTTGAATATCTTCGCAACTCATGCATGGAATGGGGTGCGCCAATAAAAGAAACTTCACCCGAGGAGGTAAAAAATATCGTAGTATACTCTCACACTTTTCAGCACTTTGAATATTTCCAGCCTGTAGATTTCATATAATGAACTCACTACTAGTATACCCCGAAACACCCAACGATTTCGCCATTCTCCCCGTGTAAACCACACCTCAAAAAAGGCAGTGTAGAATTGCATTGCAGTAAGACCCAAGATGTAGAGTCACTAGAGTACATACGAACTGACTGAAATATATAATCCTGCCTTCCCATGATTCCCGATACACCGCGGGTATGACGGGACTTAGCGAGACTCGAAATGTGGTGATAAATGCAATACAACCATGAACCTAGATACTCGCTATCCCATAACATACCGTCGAAATGTACATATGTCTTTCGTCTCAAATCTCTACTGGTAGAATGGAGAGATGATCTAGGTGAAGCTGAAGCATGGTGAGAACCAGGATTTATGACAACCAAGAAATATCATGATGTTTATGAGGGCCCTCACTGGCAAGTTCTATCTTTACGGGATGAATACTTTATACTGTAGCAGACGAGCGAACACGTTAGATCTCGGGAGGATAGCTACATGTGAAGATATATATATATGATTAGGATATCTCAGGTGTTGACAAGATAGCTCAGGACGCCTGAGATGAAGTAACAAGTAGCACGGTGACTCACGCAGTACGACTGGCAATTAAGGTCCTATGTAGAATGATTCTACCATGCCATTCAAATGACGTTCGAGATCCTACCGCGAAAAGCGGAGGAGTTTTGATTCTATGTTATGATCTAGAGATAGTTGTGATATTGTATTTATTTTGGTGGTGGGAATCGAATAGATGTGATTAATATCACAATCACTAATAACCAACCCATCCACGCATAATCCTCTTCTATCATCTCATCTCATCTCATTTGCACTATAGCCCTTTCGCGGCTTCGCCCAATAAATCGATGATCCAGAGCCTGCAAAGATCTTATGTATATATACATGGCTATAAATAATCTTGCAATTCCTAGAACATCCGATTCCTATCGCTAACTTCTAACTTCTAGAGGCAAAGTGCACATTGACATTTGATAGCCAGCTTTTGGATTTGAGACTGCGGTTTGAGTTATTATAAGCATAGTGTTTAGTTAGGTTGATGTTGATATCGCTACAATGATACTTCTCATCGAATCCAATCCCATGTCTCGTATACTTCTATAGTTATACTTGCCAATCAACCTTGATTTACAATTAGCGACACTTTAGAAGTGGTTGCATGTTGCATGTTGCAAGTGGAATAGCAATGTCGTATATACATATAGTCCAGACACCACTCACTCACATAAAGACGAATCTAACCACTCTATTTACTTTATTCCCGAAAGCATTTCCACCAAGATTCAAATCTTAAATCTCACCTCTACCTTCCGAATCATAAAGTCTTCTTTCTTCCTATTCCCAGTATTTCTCATCCCCCCCTTCTTGAACACGCAATATATACATCATCATCATCATCATCATTATCAAAGCTAATTTCCAAAGAAACACTATTCGAAACACATTTAACGTATATCTACCGAGAGGGTGACGAGTATAGAATAACGAAGAGGAGTGTATATCTGCCAAGAGGTTGATGAGACTTTCAGAATCAAGCATCTTGCCATAAGGCATATACTTTCTTATCTTATTCCGTAATATCTTTTTCTTTTTCTCCCTTTTCCACTTTCCCTCCAACCTAAAAATAACCCCCTTCACCTCTCCACCTCTCCACCTCTTCAAATGCTTTTCCAATCCCTCCCCCTCCAACCCCCCTCACTCTCTTTAACCCCAACCCCTATCCTCAAATGAAAAACAAAAACAAAATTTAAAATCAAACTCAAACCCAAACCCCTAAAATCCACAAGCTGTCTGTCTATCTTTCTTTCTCCATATCCCTCCATTATCTTCCTATTATCTTCCCTCATCTTCCTACTATCTAGTATCTCCCATTATCTCCCCACTATCTTCCTATCTTCCCATCCAAAAACAACCATAACATACCACAACATAACATATTATAATATAACATAACATAAAGAAGCAAAAGAATATACCAGTATATCCCATGAAAATAATCTTGAAAATAAGAATGAGAATGAGAACGACAAGATAACGCAGTACTCAGTTTTCATATCATACACCATACACCATACACAGCCTAACCTAGCCTAGCCTAGTCTGGGGAGTAAAGAGATTATTATACGAGTGAGCGGTACAATTTATCTACTGTGTTGTCCAAAGTAAAGGAGTAATAAGTTGACTCTTATCACCAGTTCCGGAAGCTTCCTCCGTTCGAGCATGGAGCATGGATGGTCATCGCCAGCCAGCCAGTCTATGTCTAATCAGAGACTAAACTAACCATCTTCAACACATCAGTGCAGCGAATTCCTAAAGATGTAGACCGACAGTGAACATTGTTTTGCGCCTTATGCCGTGAAAGAAAATTTCTATATTCAGATTTCCAAACATTCGTTCATCGTAACTATCAACAAAAAATATTATATACCGGTACTCCTACTCCCAAATTGCCTTTGTCATAACTAATCATACCAGCCAGTATACCCATATATAAATCCACCTTCAACCGCATTATTAAACTAAAGCATCCTTCTATTTATTCTTCCCTGCTCCCTCACCAGGTCCTCCCCTAAGAGTCCCAACCAATTGATTTGCATCCAAGCGATCTTGTACATCTTGCTCATCATCATCATCGTCATCGTCATCATCATCATCTTCACTACTCGTAGCACGACCCATATCTACATCATCTTCATCCTCATTCTTCATATCCTTTGCATTATCCATTGTAGGTCTCCTCTTCTTTTGAAAATCCTGAGTATGAGCATCTGCGAAAACTTTGGTGAGAGTTCTTGGCGGACGACGGCGTACGGAGCTGGTGTTTGTTTGCTGTCGTGAAAGACCACTGGAATGAGTGCGCTCTCGTTCGAGGACGGGGGATCTTTCGTTTGGTTCGGCTGGGGTGATGGGTTGAGACGCTTCTGATTCTCCGGATTCTAGATCATATGGCAGAGCAATGTCACGGAATGCTTTGAAACGAGCGACGTTCGAGCAATGTTCGTTCTCGACACGGAATAGCGTCCACATTCCTCGACGACTAATTTCGGAAAATGCTACGAAGAATGATGCCGAGCTGCTATGTTGTAAGTTGTGCGTATATATTGAATAGAATATCCAATTGAATCGAAGGATAGGATCGAGGATCATGGCTGCATAATACCACCAAGTGCTCTTGAAACCTCTGACATCGCGAAGAAAGGGCTTATTCGCTCCAGGCTGAAGCAGAGACCAATCCATCAACAAATCCCAGATGCCTATATTTAATTAGTGGAAATATTGAAATATCCGAGATGTAACACTTACTGACGTATACTGCATTCAGTGCAGCAAAAATACTGAAGATGATTAAGGTTTTCCTGTCTCTATCTATTCTGTAGATGCTCAAGTTGACATAGTAGACAATGGTCATAGTGTATTTGCCACCATTAACTAGGTTACTGATTAACATACGAATGTCTTAAAGAACAAAATGTACAAGAGTAAATATTTACCTAAATGTGGGAACATGTTCTTTGTGTCATGATAACGTCGGAGACATTGAAATAACCGCCATATAGCGGGTAGAGTTGAAAGAAATCCTAGAAGTCGAGAATTGGTAGAATTACATTTTGTGGGACTATGCCAAGATGTTGCGTATAGACAGAAGAAGAGCTCTATATTCTGTTCAAAGTGTCAGAAGGAATTATGAGAAATAAATGATGTGAGACTTACACTCATGAGATAGGTAAGGGAGCAATACATATCACCTAAGAAAAAATCTCTAAATTCCACGGGGTATAATCCAGCCAGAAGTAAACGCCACTGTCATCGGTCAGTATAAAATTTGCATAGTGACATGATAGGAGAAACTAACATGAGAATACAAAAACCATTTCCGGCTTCTATAAAAAAGTATAGGAGCAGGCATGAATATTATGAGGACTGTGACGAAGATCAAAATGATGGGATAGTATATAAACATTTCTGGTGTCCCAAAACCAGAGAAATTGACCCATAAAAACAATCCAAATAGGAAAATAAGAAATGCTGGAAACTCGCTAAGTTGCCGCCAATCCAAATCATGTCGAGGATCGAATTCAAAAACAAATTTGTAGTTAATCTTGTTCCGAGTCCAAACACTGCAATCGAAACAAAACAAAGAAAATAGATACAAACCAAGAAAGTAACCACCGTATATTTGCAGCAGATAGGCGGTTTGGAATCTGATCGTAGGATCAGGGTGGTCCAGGTATTCTACGCCGTAAATGATTCCCTGTATCGAGAAGACAGCACCGATACCAATAAGAATTCCGTTCCTGAATGCACTACCAGACTGGTCCATTGACTTTCCAACGGTCTTCCGCAGTTTTCCAACAGCAATTTTATGATTGCCTTTTTCAAAATATCTTGCGTACATGTCTTCAATTGCATGTAAATGCCCATCAAGTACATCACTATTGACAAACCACGCCTTGCTAACCTTTTCCGTCATGAACCGAAGGGGTGGATGGGCATTGACAGCCTTATCATATTTCTTGTTGATCTTACGGAACGCTGTGCGATTCAACAGCGCATATGACTTCAATAGTTCCATACCTCGATAATACTCTTGCAGCGCCGATTTCAGTTTTCGCTTTGCCGTCCGATAGGATACATCGTTCTCGTGGGGCCGCCTTATATAGTCGCGGTTGTCGTTTGATGTATCTAAGTCATTTGGTTGAGACTGAAATTGCATTTCAGGCGAGTTTTTCATACTTGCTAATGCCCTTGAGTTGGATCCTGGATGTGGCCCCAGAGCTGTTGCTCTTGCGTTGTCTACAAATCTCCCGAGCGGCGCTAGCCAAGCATTTAGATGGTCTTTAGAAGAATGCGCGTTCGACATCTCATCTCCAGAGCGCCCACGAGAGATTTTCCCAATTGCTGAACGTTCATCATCCTTGCGTATTGCTTTTGCTTGTTCTACCTCTGCTACTTCTTGAATTCTGCGATTGCGCATCTCATGTAGTTGTTCTCTCAGAACCTGTAGTCGGATTCCTGCCTCGTCCTCTTTGGATCTATAAAATGCTTCAACCTTTTCAAGCTCCGTATCCATCCACGAGAAGAACTCTTGCTGGCGTATTCGTACATGATCAAAGGCAACCATATCTAAGTCAGGGCGACTATTGGCTTTAGTCAAAGGAGTTCCAACGGAGAAAATTCGTTTCATGATTGGCCGTCCATCAATTGCCTGCGAACCTCGGCGTCTCAATGAAGCAAATGTTGGTTTAGTGGGACTCGATGTTGCTCCAATCTCATATGCATTCTGAGGGAGAGTCGCAGGGGTCTCCTCTGGGGTTCTCTCTGGAACTCCGATCTCGAGGGAAGGTTTTCGGCTTGTTACTGTTGACAAATTGCGCTCTTGATTCTCAAGTGGGGAATCCGGTTCTATCGCTGGATCTGGAAGTTCAAAATTGTGCAAATCCGCCGCGGGAGGGGTTGGGACAAAGCTGCCATACATCCCATTGCTTGTATGATCTGTTGGTATAGGCCGTTTTGCGATTGGTATTGTTGAAGTATGTTTCGAAGCCGCCGTCCTCTCTGCAGTATCGCGTGATGCTCCATTTTGCCTTCCCGAAGCTGATTTTCGAGGGTCGGTGGTACCATCGAATGTTTGGGACGATTGAAGCTTTCTTGGGACGAGAGGATATGTAGCACCGTATAAACTACCACTTTTGGGATCCAAGTTCGATCGCGCATCCGTTCGAGGGGTTTGATTTATGCGATTGGTAGCACGAGCAACTGCCTTGACCTTCTTTTTGCCTTGCTTATAATCGAGATATTTTGCGCGCCACTCTAATAATAATCAGTAGGTGTGTGTGGGAAAGAAATATAGCCCAAGTTCCGATGAAAATCTTACCAGGCACAAGATTCTGCTCAAGTTCCTTTGCGAACTTCATGGTGACAAGAGACTATCAATGGTAGGACGTATAAATTGATTTTGGATTAGAGACCATCAATGGTAGGACAAATTGTTGATTTGTCTCAAGTGTGTGTGTGGATGGATGTTGGACTAGATATATCTCCGTGTGTTTCTCTGAGTTACCGTCCTATCCAAGCAAGTTCAAGATAATGCATGGTCAATTCATGAGAACTGTCTGACCGTTCCGCCGTTGACTCGTGATTGTGGTTGTGGTTGATCAATTGAAGTTCTGGTACAACCCAAAGAGTAAAAATTGGTGCCCGGGTTAATAAAAATGTTATTAATGTTCGATTTGAGATTTGGATGTTCCTATGAAATAAATGGGTGGGATGATTTTCTTTGCATAATCCCCGATTGGCTGACAGGGGTTATGACTTCATCGACTAACCCACTATTTAAGGTTGGGATATATCGGATGATCCACTTTTAGTGACATTCATTGGCGTTATCAGCCACTTGCCACTTACTTGTCAGCCACTTACTATGCTAGCCACACAGCATATTGATAAGCAAAAGAGTACAAGAAGTCCTTTTCATTATTTGCTAGGCTAATCGACTTTCTAAGCCAATATCATCAACGTCCTCATCTCATGGTCTACCGTTGAATACTCAGCTTATGACCCGGCCTCCAAATGTGCCCATTCCTATTTACCCCTTTTCCATCGACTGAACAGGTCGTGCTCTATTTAGAGTTAGGCGGTCAACGGCCAAGATGTCCGATACCTCCCAAGTTGGGTTGTACCCTGCATTGATTGACCATCTTCTTGTTATATCGAATTTGAGAACTGATCTCTTACGGAAAAGAGAAATGATTGGAATAAAGTGGTATCTATCGTAAACCTTATTCAGGGTTTTTGGCTAAGGGAAGGGGTCTGGGCTGGGGATCACAACTACTAGCTAACCAACTCGGTATACTACCGAATATCATCATAGGGGTTCGGCTGAATGCTTGAAAGCTCCCAAGCAGTCAAGGATACTTCGAACCCCTGGATATGTGCCAGGTCCGAAATGTTATGATCAAAAATCTTCCATATGTTATTGGGTCCTCCTCATCTACACGTGATCATGTCACCTTATCCCGAAGCAAATGCACAAAAGTATGTTGTTATAGTTGGGCCTAGTGGTTTTGATACTTTCTCTCGGTTTCTCAAGAGATATTTAAGAGCGATGACGTTGGTTTGCTTGCTTGCTGTTTTATGTTCTAAAGAGCTAGGTCTCTCTTAGAGCTTCAGGCAGTTGAGTCTTGTTGGCCGAAACTATGGGTAGACATATGGTTGTGTCCTGTCCTTCACTTTGTCGCAAAGATTGAACTTTATATGTTGTTAATGTCGCTGATGATTGGATGCATATCTACAATGACTGTGAAGTCAATGTAGGTGTTGATGGTAAATACTTGTTATTCTACTATTACCTTACCTGTCTGTGTATACTTCAATAACGGCTTTCAAAAACTTCGATAGTTTCAATATGTCCTCCATACTCCTTTTTTCATCCATTCTCAATAACCAACTCGATTTGTTCTCAAAGAGAATTGTTCATGGGCTGTTGGAGAATATTGGAACGACATATTTCCTCTTTTCCCATCATTTGATCCGCCTGTTTTATATATACCTCTTAGTTATTGAGAAGGAGGAAGTAGTAGTCTACTAGTGAATTGCAATTGAATACATTGACCCACACGAATATTAGGGTTAAGGCTGAAGCACCAAGCTTTATAGATCGATCTAGATAATCTTGACAATACTCTGAGCTGGTTGTTGTTGGAGCACACGTGCTCTCAGAGACGGCAAGGTATTTCAGGATGGCCGCCTTGGAGTCTTAAAGTCTTAAAGATGGTAAGCTCGTCTCATGTTGTTATCTTGATCCTTTTATCTCCTTATGTGCCCCATCCAGTCCAATTGAGTCTTCTGGTCTTAGTGTGCTTCTGCCCTCAAGATTATCTCATCCAAATAAATTTTCCAGCCAAAAATCCCTCAACACAAAGCTTATACAACTCAACAACTTCAAAGATTAGCGACGCTAAGGACTGGAGATAGGGAGATCATATGAACACTTTTTAGTGACTTATTCACCTTAGTTTAAGCCAAATTAGAACTTCGTAGACCTCTTCAACAGTTTCAATTGATCTATTCCCGCGCTTTCTTAACTCCGTATATTCATTCCTGCCGTCTTCAACCCGTTCAACAGATCTCTAGATGCCCGATCTTCGGTCCCTTCCGATTCTCCAGGGGCATAAAAGAGTTCTCTTGGTGCCCCTCTCTTCTTCCTTCTTTACTCTTACAATAATACCTTTACCCTACTCTTCTTCTACCTGTCAATCCGTTTCCACTACCCAGACTGTCGATCTTCAATTCTCCTCGCAGACTAGAAGTTAAGACCTCCACTCGTAAGTGAGCCAATCACCAGATTCAGCTTCCTCGGTTCGCAGTACCATCGATTGGCGAGCTATTCTCTTCAATCTGTTGATTATTGCTCTCTGACCATTCACAGACTTATCCGAGTTTACCAGCGATTCCAGCGACATCAGCTCCCAAGATCTATCGAGATCCTAGATGTAAGTGCTCCACTTCCCATAGACATTGTTTTTCCTCTCATCAATCCATAAACCTCGACTCAAGCTAACACTCATCACAGTATACACACCATGATACTAATCATGCAACTTTCCATCTTCCTCCTCGCTTTCCTCACCCAAACCACCCTCGCAGCCTGGCCCAAGCAAGGCGTTCACTTCAACGATGTCGGTCTAATCCAACACTTCAACGCTGCTGGTTCCCAAGTTAACTGGGCCTGGAACTGGGATTCCTACATGCCATCCACCTTTCCCAGCTCCATGGAATTTATCCCGTCTCTGGTCCGACTCCTCCGATCACACCGCCAACTGGGTCAACAACGTCAATGCCGCCATCGCTCGTGGTAGTGGTCACATTCTGGCTTTCAACGAACCAGACGGATGTTCAGCAGGCCAATCTTGCATGAGTCCTCAACAGGCTGTCAATGCCTGGAAGACTTATATGCAACCATTTGCAGGCCGTGTTGCCTTGGGTGCACCTCAAGTTAGCAATGGTGCTGGTGGTTTATCTTGGTTAGAATCTTTCTTGAGCTTGTGTACTGGCTGCGAGATTGATTTTGTGCCTATTCATTGGTATGAGAGTGTTGGTGGTCAGAATTACTTGGCTGATTTTTATAACTATGTGGGTGCTGCGTACGCTGCGGGGGGAAACCGTCAAATTTGGATTACTGAGGTATGTTTCTCCACTCCTGCACATTCTCACATTTTTTCATACTTTCTACTCCCTATATTCCCCCTCCCATACATCCACAAATACCCTCCTCGATTCCCCCACACCCCCTTAAACATCCCCCACACACTCTCCAACCCCACTAATACCCTCACCTCACCCCACCAGTTCGCCCTCTGGAAACCCGCCACCGAAGCCGAACAAGAATCTTTCATAGGCCCTGGATGGATAATCTCTCCTGGCTATATCGCTACTCCTGGTTTATGTGCACCAGCGACTATACTGAGGAACCCCAAGGTTCTTTGTGTAATGCCGATGGCTCCCTTACTAATTTGGGTAATGATTATACATATTCTGGTTTCTAGGCTCCGCCGCTCCGCTGGAGTGAGGTGGATTTGGGAGGGGAAGATTCTTTTGGTTGTGTGGATAAGTGACTGCTGTGCTGGCATTGCGTTTACAAATTACAATGGGATGGGGGAAATTTTCTTTGGGAAGTGATGATGGATGACGGATAATGAATGGGATTTGGAAATTAGGGATAGTGGATAACACCAGTCCATAGGTATGATCTGATCATCATAGCTGAGCTGGCTCTCTAAATGATCATTGATAGATACTAAGACTCGAATTATTTTGCTCATTCAGCTACATAGCAAACTTGAAATGCAACTAATTGGTTTGCTGCACACGTTTGAACTTGTTGACTTGCTATTTGGTGGGACTTGGAATGTAAATAGATGTGTATTCTTGCTGTAAACAGGGTAAGTTACATATGCTACTCCCTGATATGATTTGCGAATTGCGAGAGAATCTCGCGCTGACTGGTTGGTGTCTTATACGCGTGTGTTGTATCATCAATACGCTCGAATAGTTCTAATCATACTCGTAGATGTCCTTTGTACTCGTACTCTACTCGAGTAATATAAGCCTGCTGATATTTTGTGAATTATTTACTTTATTCTTAATTGTAACAGCTAGTGCACATTATTAGCATGGCTTTTCTACTCAATGCAATGCTCGATTATGTAGTGGGATGTATACGTCTCGAAGTTTTGTTTTTAATAATTATACTATATACGTGATACGATATGATATGATATATATACAAATGATTACTATTAGATTTTAGAGAAGATTGATTGAGAGGGAGAGTTTTTCCTCGTGGATCTGTGGTTGAGGAAAAATAGGCTTATTGTATAGGAGTATAGGTGAGGTGAGCGACTCTCGAATACTAAGTGATATTTCTCATACTACCGGTACTTGGTTGTTAGGAAATTAATGTATTTCGTTTCTTGTGAACTCTGGTATACTAGTGGTGTTACAGTATCAGTAGGCTAGTTTGTATACTTCTCTACTGTATGTAATTATAGATCTTGGAACGAATTTGTAAACCGATTGGCACGAGGAAAGAAATAGCAACAGCATAGCAGGACATAAGTTCATATCAGATTTGAAGGTTGGTATAGTAATACACGAGTATTAGAAAAGATGCAAAGCTTCAAGAAAAGATTCACATTGGACCAGGGTTTTCTTTCGATATAAATTGAGTTCTTTGAAAATTTTGAATGTCCCAAAATAATTCGGTATAAATAAGTATTGGATTTCTACAGATACTCACCCTGAATCCTGATACATATCGAAGTTTGATAACTGGTGGATATAAATCGAAACGACATTCCCGAGTAAAAATCTCGTACAGGTACCTACCTACACAGCATCAAGTATATCATATGAGAAGATCCAAAATTCAAGAATTCCCTATCATCTAACTATCTATCTAAACTTCGAAGCATTAGAAAGTCTGCACAGGCTATTCAGTTCAGAACCAAGAAGTAAACAAACTAGTATTGACTATCATCTCCGCAGAGCCAAGTGAATACATCAGGTCATGTGAGTAACAATATCAAAAGTTTGGTTGCATATCTGAAAATTCTTGTGTACAAGTTAGCTCACTAGCGCATTTTTGGAAAAGTTTATATCGACTGGGAGAATAAGGGCGCATTTTTAATTTATTCCCTGTGGAAATATTTGGTTTCGGTAAGGTCGATTGGGGATGCTCGGGCCGATATTTCGGGATGGATGTCTAATCAGCCTAATAAAGTTTAGAATACCGGTATGCTTTTCTTATATTCACAAGTACTTCATTTTAGTATGGCCAATAGCTAATGACATGTTTATTCTCAGGATCTCTATCACCAACCAGTTTTGGATGGAAATCAATTCAACCCTCCTAATTCACGTTGTCAATCTTGATTCATAAAACCCGAACGCCCAAAAATGCTATTCTCATCACCTCATCCGTCTCATGTTGTCCATAACTATCCATACACCCCCCCTAATGAATAGATGGTCGTCCAAGCGTCTTTATCTTGATCTTTCCTCATCATCAAAACTTCTCACAACCACAAAACCCAATACAAGCGAATCATAAAGTCCCTTCCAAGTAAAACCCCGCGTACTCACTACCGACTGCAACACCAATCCATCACGTCCTAAAGCACTTTGTTCTAGCCCTGGTACCTTAAAACTAAACGCTAAGTATCCGAGTAATCTCGCTAACACCCAATCCACAATCTCAATGCCTTTCCAATCGGAAACGTAAGGTTCTCACAGAATGCGCATTCTTGCATTTGGTAGATTCATCTTCATTCTAAAGAGTGTGGAATTCGAGATTGCGGGTTTGCATATGCAGCGTGAAGTATGGATTATCGATTAAGGAGTTGATGTGGGATCTGTGGGTGCCCTTGAAGTCTCCAGAATTCAATTATAGCAATGCAGATTGATAGTAGATAGATAGTAACAGCAACCCAATATCCCAATTTAACCCACATCCGCCAAATTGCATAATCCAAAATTCTTCGTCTTCCCCCAATCAACATTCGATTTTGTTGGCTCACGCTAATGGCCACTGCTTGAGAACTTGATAGAGGAGGTATTCTGGATTGCTACAGATAATTGTTAATTTAGTTTCTGGTTATTCTGGCTTCGGCAAGGTATTTCTTTTGTTATTTTTACCACTTTTATTTTGCGTTCTTCTTGTTTGATACTACCTTTTTGATATTTGAATAGTTTGGTGCAGCAAATTGGCGGTCTTAAGGGTTACTTAAAAGTCAATACACGAGCTGCATCTAATGGCTGAGCTCTGAGGAAGAGTTCTGAATGGTCTAACTGGTCTCGCTTAACCATGTGGGGCTCTTTGAAGTGTGGAAGCGAGGATTAGTACGTTTTATATTTATAGCATTTTTTTGTCACGCAAGCTAAATCCAGCCCGCGATTTTCCCAATGAAAAACATTAAAACAGAGTAGATATGTTATCAAGAGCATTTCCAACACAACATTGATAACCCCGAAAAGAGTAAAGTGTCTTTTTGATCGGAGTAAGCTTTCAATACACTGCCTGGGGCGCTTTGCTACTTTCTAAAGGAATATTCTGAGACCCATCACAAGAAAAAGCCATTTGATTGATTCGCTACGGACCTCTATGGTTTGGCGAGAGCTTACTTGAAGTGAAATTGAAATAAAGTGAAGCGACGGCACTTGAGGATCTTGATAATCACTGCCGATTTTCGAGGGTCTACCTAGGTTAGTCTTAAGTCTTAGTAAGCAGCAAGCTCTCCTATAAATGTCAACCTCCATGACTTACATTAATGCACGTGTGTATGTATGTATGAATTTCTATTCCTTTGCAAACAACTAATATTGATACTTATTATCAAAATTTCGAACAGGGAGGTCACTTTTTTACATCCTCGACTTAAAAGACGCTAACTACCCTTCCTTTTGTTTCCCTAATAAATTGTACCCAACTTACTTGCGAACATATCCACATACCATCCATAATTATGCACTACTATATCTCCAATCCGCACCTCTAGTAACGTAAAAGTCAATCTTTACGGTACTACCCAGATAATGCAGTTTGTGAACCTGGCTCCCATGCATATATATACTTTTTTTGACACTCAATCATCGGGAGACGCGTAAATAGGCATTCAGGATCGTCGAGCTTATACAGCAAGTCACATAGCCAGAATGACGTACTTCAACTCGGCCTAAAGAAGAGCACCGGGACGATTAAGTGTCCAGGCCATAATCATTCACAAATCAAACTTGGCAATGAGAGTAGATTATTGATTCATAAAAGCTATGTAAATTCTTCTCTACCGAAATTTGAAGCATATATCAACAATTGTTTGTGCCTAATACACTAAAATAGAGAAAAATGTAAAAGATCCTTGACAACTATCTACTTGCCGCAATAAATCATCCTCCTAAATTCACGCTCTACGTAGACCCAACAAACAATCTACGATCCACTCACTCCGACACAAACATATCCCCATGCCACCCATAAGTTCTCATCAATCGTCTACCAAACTTCCTCGCAATCCAAAACGAGATCTTTGGCGATCTTCCCGAGGCGTGCGGCTCATGAAACTGTATGGCATGTCCCATATCAGCGGATGGGGGTGTAAAGTGCCATATAGAACCACGAAGCTTTTGGCAACCGAAGCCAACTGCAGCCATTGCATGGAGAAAATGAGTCCAGGATAATTCTCCAGGCATATCGGATTGAGATGGCTGATGGAAAAGGACTTGAAAAACTGTGTAGTCGCATGCGTCGAGTTGGAAGCTGAGCTCAGAGCGTATGGGAGGATGGTCTGCCAATAGCTCTGGGAGGTCCTCGGGAAGTGAATTGCTTGCGATACCTTGAGTCTTTTTTTGTTTTTGACCTCGGGAGCTACGAATTTGCTGGGTTGATTATCGGAGCCGAATTCTGGGATGGAAGAAGGTTCGGTCTGTGGGCTTGTTTGGGTGCCTTGGGCTGTTCAATCCACTCGGGAGTTCTCTCCAGCTCGCGAATTCCGCCGCAGATCTCTTGCACTCTCTGACGAAGAGATGTCCCCGTTGCCTTTCGAAGGTCATGATCGATTTTCTGCCAGAATGCATCCAACGACTTTTCTGCTTTACGCATCTTTTCCGTGGTGGTCTTCGTTCGCCTCTGTTTACAAGGGTAATCGAATATTCCCGAAGTTGGCGTGCCAAGATCGATGACTCGTGGAGATGCAGTTATCGCCTCAATGGCATCCTCAAACTTCTTCAATGGTATTTCTACATTAGCCAGGTCTTTGGCGAAATCATGGGTATATTTCTTTTCTTCCACTTCGAAGGTAAGAGACCATGGGAAGTAATTGTTAACCTCATTGATCAAGTGCGCCAAGATACCGAGGTCGGAAAATCTATTCATGATCCAGGAGGAGAGTTTAGCTTTTTCCTTCGGATGCCCCTCAATAAAATGATCGAGCTCATCAAACACAGTATATAGGCCTAGAGTTTTAATTGCCTTTAGTGACCAAATATCGTTGACGATATCTAAGAGCTCATTTGTATCCTCGGATTTTCCGTGTCTTCTTTGAAAACTAAATTCTGGAGGAACATTGTCGGCGTATTCGGCTCGTCGATAGAACATAGATCGATACGCAGGCTCACATGGAACACCCGCAGTTACCCTGAAAATCAGCCAACCTTTTGTGTGATCCAAGCAGTACCTAAGCTTGAGTATTGCTTTGAGGTAGTCCGCCGGCAGATGTTTCTGTGGATCTATGCCGGCTGAGTACTTTTCCTGCAAGACAGCTAAAAGGTCAAGCTGTTTTCCAAGGAAATTCCACAATATGAGATCCGACTGAGCCTCGTAAATGACGGACTTGATGACTTGTCCCCAGAATTTCAGTGTATTCAAGTCGAAATGAGTAGCTCCCAGCCTATCTTGCACACTTTCGTATCGGTGCTCTCTTTCATCCATCAAAGCATCCACAAACGCTGCAGGGTCTTCACGAATGTCCCAGATATAGTGCTCCACACTGGTTATCTTGGCGTCCACTAATTGTTTCAATCGATCAAAGGTTAGCAGAGTAGGAAGTCGATAAGGTGCTTCCGCGCAAAGATGTGCCAATGAAGGCCACTCGGACTTTTCTGTCGGCGGGGATAGATCTCGTGGAAGCGTTCCCAAGGTTGTCAGTGATGTCATATCTAAGTCGTGGAGAATCGTTTCACAAAGTCGGACTAGAAATACCACAAGCTTCTGCTGAATTTCCAAGGTCAACAATCCCATGCCAGGTAGGGTTGCAAGACCTTTTTCCACGTTCTCTGTAGTTTGGAGACCCCAGGAATGCCAAGGTATGAGACATCCGAAAGTTTCTGGTGTCTCGCCTGCGAACGACATAGTATAGTGCGGGAGAAAAACAGGTAAGATAGTCCTGCTAGTAATGCCTAGTTGGATAGATTGGCGATCCGCATGCTCGAAGCAACGTGGGTGATTCCAACCTCTGGTATCGAGAAGTAGAAGTAAAGATTCACCCCTGACCAGATCATCAATACTGATGTAGGGCAGAAGGTATGCATCTCTGAACTACTTCGTAACACCTTCTATGCCTGCGTCACTCTCATCACAATAAGCTTCGATGTCTGGTCGATGCTTTTTAGATATCTCAGGATATGCTTTCGTTAATATGGTGGTGCGTTGTGCTTTTGATTTTTTCATCCATCGTTTTCGAATCAGCGGCTCGTATGAAATTAGAATTCCTTGCAACTTTGCCCATCCGGACAGAATCTCTGTCGAGCGTTCTCGAGCTTCCAGTTTGAATTGCTCGGGATTGACTTGCGTCTGGGATTGGTTTGTTTCGACATCCATAACTGCGGCGAAAGTTGTATGAAGCTAGCGTTGTATCTCGTCGATTGGAATTGTTAAAAGCACAGTACTGTGCAGAAATGAAAGTTGAAGGAAGTTCAACCCGAGGAAGGGGTTTCAGGGCGTAGATGCTTATGAAGATGGTCGAGGTAGATTAGTTGTAGAAGGAAGATGGTAGGTGAAGATAGAAACACTCTTAAATAGAGAAGATCAATACGGTAGACTCGGCCTCGGGTCATCATCTACCTGAGGTGCTGTATAGATGTATCTCGGTGGTATTATAGCAGTCTGTGTTTGCTAATCTTTTGATTAACCCGCACTAGTAAGCTATAACTACTGGTCGAATCAAGAAGAAAAATTAAATGAAGCTAATTATCTCGGTGTTAGATATAAATCACTCACCCAAATAGAATCCTTTCCCGATGTGGACTTTTCAGTCCTATTAGTGTGCAAAATATGACGTAAGTGCTCTGTTAGACTCGAAATAACCAAATTCATATACTACTTTAGTATCAAAAGTAAACGGAAGTAGAAGTATAGTGCTCAACTATAATAATATTGTTGACTATATTATTTGAGTTAGTATATAATAGTCAAATAATAGTGCGTATCAGAGGCTTATATATTATGTTACTATATGAATTAGAAAATCCATCAATTATTCACCACCACTACTACCACTACTCCTCCATCCCCTCATCTCCCCAAAAATAAACACAAATAACCGAAGTGCAAGCGAAATGCAATCGAAATGCAATCAAATAAAATCAAATCAAATAATTAACAAAGGAAGTGAAATGGCCAGACTCCGGAGATGAACATTCATTATACTATATACCCGGATATTCGCTAGAGGCAGGTGAAAGTGTCATCAACTGTAGTTCACAGTTGCTTGTGGAAAGAGAAAGAAAACGCAGGAAGACCCAATATGTATCCTTTTGATTCTGCTTATCTATGATTGTCTGTTTTGGAAAGTTTGCTTTTCGAGAAGGTGATGGGATTTTTGATGAAGATGTGAAGTTTGTTGATATCTTCACTTGCTTTGTTTCACATCATGTTTGTGGTCTAGCTTGAACAACTAGTATGTTTGCCAAATGGGGAGTTGTTTGAAGAAGGTTTTTTTTATGATACTCCCACTATATCTATTTGTTCTCCTAGCCTTCTATTGAGCCAGCCTTCTAATGCATCAACATTCCCAATAATCTGTATCTCCGCCTTCTTGTTTAGCATCAACATTATTTGGAGTTCTCTTCTCCATTCTTCCTCATCTCCATTCTCCTGGCATACGTCTCTCTGCAGCATCCTCACTGCGAGTCGCCTATCACGTTTCGTCAATTTGAGTAGGCCCTCGTTTTCTCCCCCTCCTAGTATCATATCCGTGCTTCTAATTCCGAGCCAGCATATGGAAGGAACGGACAGATCTTCGTTCTCATGGGCGAGTGCGGCAGAGCCGTGTTTGTAAGTCGACATAATACCTATACCATCGGGATCAAAATCTACTAGAGCATAAATCGGTATCAATGGGTAGTGTTTCCACAAATAGTGAAGAAATTGTCGACTTTGTATGTCGGGATAACCTTTGGCCTATGATGATTAGAAAAACCTTAGTCCGCACAAGGAAGCGAAAGCACGTACTGTGAGTAATACCCCTTTCCCTGCAGTCGAACATTCCCAGTATCGTTTTTCTGCCAATGTGCGAAAGGTCGCCTATACGCAGTCAGAAATATTGTAATCCCACAGATAAATGTGTACAACCTCCTTCTCAATTACCAAGATCCATTTAACCTGCCAAAGGTCGATCTCTTCGATTTCTTTCGCCCATGGCACCAATTGTGACTGAAAAAAGGATTAGTGAAAGGACATGAAACAAGGTAGTATGAGGAGCCAACATCGGCCGCTGATGAATAGTCCATGACAGACTTATTCCTTCTTTTGACGACAAACGAGCCTGTTACTAATCCTTTGGCGGCCGCCACCTGTAGAATACGTATGAGAAATGGACTGGAGCTATTTTGGAGCGATGTCACTGACCACATTTAGGGCATCACGCTTCAATCCAAGGGTGTATGCGATGTCATCAACAAAACGATCGACAGTTGCCTGCTTTGTGAACAGTTCCGGATCTCGATAATACATGTCTCTGATAATGAAGCGTCAGTTTATAAAAGGTTTCGATTTCCCACGGCGGAGGCACACCTTTTGGTAAGGATATTGCCAGTGACAAGGGCCTCGTGAGAAAGCTCGAGTATTCGCAGCAAAGCACCTACATTGGTATTAATATTAGCTACCAAAAAGAGCCTCACACCTACTGAATTTCCACGCTTCTCGAGGCGAGGCATTCGGAAACTGCACAATTCTACTCCTCGAAGAAGAGGGTCCTTTGCTGTCTTCAGTCGCATACTTTGTGTTGAGACTCCGAGATTTTAAACAGATGGAAAATTGTTTCCTCCGTCCGATGATACAGTCTGTCATGGCTTCGCAGATCTCTTCGATTTTGGATATAGCTGATCCGGTTGAATAAGATAGTGTGGAGGCAGTCTCAAGATCAAGTGGTTCACTTTTCAAAGATGTCGTCGATGTTGGCGATGTCGGCAAACTGGTAGTGTTATTGTAAGGCTCATGGTGAGAAGAAAAGGAGTGCTGGCGATTGTCATGATCTGTAATATTATTATCACTTTTTAGTCTGCTGGGAGGTAAATCATGTAGCAATTGGTTTGATGAAGACGGTGCCTCCCTCAAGATATCGGGCAAAAGATCAAAGTCCATGGCATTCTCAATGTTGAGGCGAAGTATTCGAGTACCGGTACATCAACTGGAAGTGCATCTTCAACAACTTGCATATATGTAATTGTTGGAAATGATTGATGTCTAAATTTGGAATATTTGAAGATGCGGGGAGAAAGACACTGGCAGCCCAGGAAAGGTGGACCACGCTAAAGGTGGATGATCACCCAAATTTGAACTGCCATCTTTGACCGCCTCTTCCTGCCCTGCCCTGCCCCCTGGATTGACACCTATTGATATTTTGATAGCTTCTATACATTTTTCACCATGGCTCGAACGAAGATTAATGCTTTGGGTGGCACTGAGAACCAGGTAAAGACAGGAGAAAAGAGACCATTTGATTCTTCAACAACTATACAGTCCACGAAACGGCCAAAGCTACAAGAACGTACCGATTATTCTCGATGGCGTTTACTCGACGAAAAAGGTAGACAGACATGGCATTATCTTGAAAATGATGAAGATACTGTAGAATGGCCTCAAACAACTGCAGACAAGTATTTTTTGGGACTGCCAACTGTATGAATATTGTACTTGGTTTCTAGCACAATTTCTAATGATGTGAGCAGAACCTGCCTGATCTTCCAAAGGCACAAAGTCCTCTTGATTCCGTCAACAATTCTCTCGAATTCTTCCAGCACCTTCAGCTTCCTCCTGGGAATTGGGCATGTGAATATGGTGGTCCAATGTTTTTACTTCCTGGCCTGGTCATCACTTGGACTGTCACCGAAACTACAATCCCAGATCATATTGCAACCGAAATCAAGAACTACGTCTTTGCACGAGCACACCCAGATGATGGAGGGTGGGGATTACATATTGAGGGTGAAAGCACTGTTTTTGGTACTGCTATGAATTATACCACGCTCCGATTAGTTGGAGTTAGTGAAGAGGACGAACGGATGATCAAGGCTAGAGGAACATTACACAAGCTCGGTGGTGCCAAGAATGGACCGCATTGGGCAAAGTTCTGGCTGAGTGTACTTGGTGTATGTCAATGGGATATTGTCAACCCTGTGCCACCAGAGTTCTGGCTGTTGCCTGACTGGCTACCTTTTCATCCTTGGAGATGGTGGATTCACATGCGCTCAGTTTATGCGCCGATGTCATTCATTTGGTCTAAGAAGTTCACATATAAAACAACTCCCCTTATCGAGCAGTTACGACAAGAGCTATTCGTCGAACCATATACGGCTATAAACTGGTCTGGAAATCGAAACAGTATTCATCCGAAAGACAACTATCACCCAAAATCATGGCTTTTAAATACAGCAAACTGGTTTATTGTTAATATCTACGCTCCTTATCTCCGAAGTGACGCATTGGCCAAGCAAGCCGAAGATTGGGTGTTTAGATTGATTCAAATGGAAGATAAAAATACTGATTTTTCCAACCTCGGGCCAGTGAATGGAGTGATGAACTTTCTTGCGTGCTATATTCGAGAGGGACCTAATGCCTACTCTGTACAGAGACATCGAGAACGAATGGCTGACTTTATGTGGGTTAAGGATGAGGGTATGTTAATGAATGGCACGAACGGGGTACAATGCTGGGATACTGCATTCTTGATTCAAGCCGTAATGGACGCCGGTTTGGCAGAAGATCCAAGATGGAGACCAATGTTAACAAAAGCCCTCGAATTTCTCGACGATCAGCAAATCCGAGAGAATGTTGACGATCAAGATATTTGCTACCGCCAGCAACGAAAAGGAGCCTGGTCTTTCAGCAATAAGGATCAAGGATATGCTGTTAGTGATTGTATATCCGAAGCATTGAAATCTATTATACTTCTACAACGAACTCCAGGCTATCCAACTTTACTTGAAGATCAGCGAGTTTACGATGCCATTGACACCATTCTCACGTACCAAAATAAATCTGGTGGATGTGCATCATATGAGCCAACTCGAGGCTCAGAGAGGTTGGAGATTTTAAATGCAGCAGAAGTGTTTGGCAGAATCATGATAGAGTATGATTACCCTGAATGCACAACTGCCGTGGTTACTGCACTATCGTTATTCACAAAATACTACCCGGATTATCGTACCTCGGAGATTGAAGCTTTCAAGAGTAGGGCTATCCAGTATATTCGAAGGGCCCAATATGCCAATGGTAGCTGGTATGGTAGCTGGGGTATTTGTTTTACATACGCCGGAATGTTTGCTCTTGAGAGTCTTGCAAGTATCGGGGAAACCTATGAGAACAGTGAGCATGTAAGAAAAGGGTGTGACTTTTTCATTTCCAAACAGCGAAGCGACGGTGGATGGTCTGAAAGCTACAAGGTAATTTACTTTGTCCCCAATTCTTGATTTATTTCAGATTTTTAATGATTTTTTTAGTCTTGTGAGCAAGCAGAATATATCGAACACCCGTCCGGTTCTCAAGTTGTACAGACAGCTTGGGCATGTATTGCTTTACTCGAGGCGAACTATCCAGATCGTGCACCAATCGAGAAAGGGCTGAAACTTATCATGAGCAGACAACAAGCAAACGGAGAGTGGCTACAAGAGGCCATCGAGGGGGTATTCAATAAGAGTTGCATGATCTCGTACCCTAACTATAAGTTCATCTTCCCGATGAAAGCTTTGGGAATGTTTGCCAAGCGATATGGTGATGTAAAGCTTCTCTAGTTTATTTATACTCGAGTAGATGATGACACCTAATTATAACTATAATGTAATAATATAATACTAGGAAAAGTTAGTCCAAGTTCAAGTTCATACTACTTATTACCTAGTCAAAGGCCATGTTTTTTGTTTTCCTGAGAAGCGTTTACAGTCAATGACCTAGTACTCAATCAGTTGGCTTTGAAGCTAAACTGAAGTAGTAGCTCCACCCCCGCCTAGTTTAAATGTTAATAAAGCTCCTTGATTGGTTCAAAGCTCTCTTAGCGCCTCTTCACACCAACAGCTATCGATAGGCGATAAGGCTAAATTTGTCGAACGTTCCAGTTCAAATACCAACAGAACAAATTATAAAACCGAATCTTTTCCCACATCACTTTCTTGCTCTTCCATGAATACTAGATTACCATTTGAACATTTTCAAAAAACAAACCTAGGTAATTCCTGAAATAATACGTTCGTCATGTCAACCCAAGCAGCCCTCGGCTCCGCCGCCATAGAGAAGAAAGATTATCCCGCGGCCATAACTCATCTAACCAAAGCTCTCGCCGAAAGCTCTACTTCCCCAAACTACCTTATCTTTCGCTCTACAGCATACCAGCGCGCCAAGAATCACGATGCAGCCCTCGCAGATGCTGATGCTGCCGTTCACGCAGCTGTTGCTCGTTCTCGTCGCGAACTCATCGCTACTGCGCACTTTCGTCGTGCAGTCGCTCTTCATGGATTGGGCAGATTTGGAGATGCGAGAATGTGTTTAAATTGGTGCAGACAGAAGAATGAGAAAGAGAAGGCTTTGACCATTTGGCAGGCAAAGGTTAAGGCAGATTATGATGCTGCGGGTGGTGATGAAGCGGAGTGTAATCAGTGTACGGTAAAGGAAATTCCAGGAAAACCAACTATCAAGGTCGAGAAGGGCAAAGCACCAGAAATCTCGACTGCCCCTACATCTACTCCAGTATCTGCTCCAGTAGCAACTCCAAAGGAGAAGATCAGGCAAGAGTATGTTCACCCTTTTCCAATTCGCAGGCCAAAAGCTAACAAACTTCACAGATGGTTTCAATCGAGCTCAAAGGTTACAATTACTATTTTCGCCAAGGGTGTTGCGAAGGACACTGCACAAATTATCATTGAAGAGGGACAGGTATGGCAAGACTTTGAGATCAATATTTTACAGCAGCTAATACGTCACAGGTCGAAGTTTCATTTCCCATCGGACAAACTGGCACTACGTACGATTTTACAGCCTCACCACTTTTCGCACAAATCGATCCTACTCAAAGCAAGTTTAACATCACACCCAATAAAGTCGAGATCGATTTACACAAGTCGAAGGAAGGACTCAAGTGGTCTACATTGGAAGGAACCGATCCTATCGCCAGCAAATCTGCCGAGGAACAGAAGTCGGAAATACCATCTGCCATATTGAACCCCAAAACCGATACAGTCCCATCCTACCCAACATCATCTCGCAATGGTCCCAAGAACTGGGATGCACTCGCATCTTCCGCTCTCAACTCCGAAAAGAAAGATGGAGACAAGTCAACAAACGGAGGTGACGACGAGGAAGATGGCGATCCGATGAATGCTTTCTTCAAGAAACTTTACAAGGATGCCGATCCGGATACTAAGAGAGCAATGATGAAGAGTTTCCAGGAGAGTAATGGTACCGCTTTGAGTACCAACTGGTCCGATGTTAGTAAGGGTCCGGTCGAGACAAGTCCACCGGAGGGAGTCGAAGCCAAGAAATGGTAGATTAATAGCAGAGGAGTCTGATTCCAGGTGGATTATCATATTGGCCGGCTTAGGGAGTCTAGGAGTGAGATATCATATCATGGCGTTGACTTTTCCAGATAGCAGTATTAGGTAGATACTCATCATCTTGAGACTTTTTCAAAAGTAAGAAATAAAATTCCATTCAGAACAAAGTAACCATATTTGGAGATCACTCTCCTTTTCCCCGGAGGCCAATTGGTTCCTTTAAGAACACTTGGTTTTATAATTACATGAGGAATAGTCAATTTAGTGTTATTGTCATCATCCTTTCCCTTATATATACACACTCATTTCTTACCTTACCTACGTCAATCATTGAAAGCATACATTATCTCTACAACACCTCTTCTCCTTCACGTAAGAGAGGGGTTTAGGTTCAAGTTTCCTCCAAAACAACGGAAGCGAACGTTTACACTTTGAGTATTTAAGTACATATGCATAGCAAGGCGAATGAATGATTGCAGAGTATTGGAGATGTTTAGATGTTTAGATGTTTGACTGTATTAGTACAGATAGATATACTAATCATACTTAACTGACTGGCCGGAAGGGAAGAACAATTACATAATTAAAACATTTCCCAAGAGTCCCACTCCAATAATCAGACGCCATATCAAATACGGTATCACAGTTTGATGTCTTTTCCTATTATGAGTATGTTTCCCTTTATGTTTCTTATTACAAGTCCATTCTACTGAGTATTTCGCTACTTACGAGTTATTGGTCAGGCCTTGAATCTCCCTCAATGTCATCTCATCCGTACAATAAGTACTGAGTACATCATTTATATATACATATACATACATATTCTATTTCTCTACGCTCTCTTCCCCTTTCCCTTTCCCTTTCCTCTCCATCAACATCGATATCCACATCCACATCCACATCCACAATCACATCCATATCCCGATGAGATCCATTCCATCCCAAGTCCATATATCACCCAGAAACCTTTATTCTAAACACACACCTTATCAGCATCCACCTATCCCCCCACCAGAACTCATCACCAGTACATCCCCACAACTCTCCCTCTCCCTCTCCCTCTCCTTCTCCCT